TAAATTGGTCCGACTATAATGTGTACACAGTAGCTAATGTGGCCAAAAAAGTTCTACTCGCCATTCCCGGTGGTCTGCTTGGGCCGGGTGGAGAAAAGAAGTTACTCGCCACAGCCACATTTGCAACTGTCGCGGAAGCAGAGGCAGCTGCGGAACAGGTCTATCGTCTCGACCCAACCATGTCCGGGAGCAGCGGCCGCAGAGGTCGAGACGATCGTGGTCATTCTGCAAATAGAGGCGCGTCAGCTATGTGGCTTTATAAGCCACTCCTTATCCCCTTGCCAAATGAATGTTACTCAGTAGACACAACTGATAGTCCTCATTCGATTGATGATCCGTGCCACGCGATCCCCGACATCTCTTGGCCACGCGGTTCAGTGCAGCAGTTACACCAGCTGTCCGAGGTTGCTGAACGTCGAATTGCGGTATTTCTAAGGTTGGTCAATTTTGCCTTTCTTATCATTTCGATTGATAAAAACGATAAATATGCCCGCACTTTTAGTGTTTTATTAAATAACCAAATGCAGCAGAAACTATTTTTACTTCCTTTTTATTGAAAATCTGAGTTGACAAGCAATTTTTCAGAAACGGCATATCGACCAATCAAATTGTTTCCGAGTGATACAAATCTCAGGTTAAAGTTAGTCGGTAGTGCACGGTTCGGACACCCGAAATCCAAGGCTATAATTCGGCGACCTTGACCACCGCCGGGAATAAAATAGATGAGTCAAACTGGAACACACTGGGTGATCGGAGGAAGGGATGAACTGTCGTTAAGTAATCAGTGATGTTTTCCCAGTCCTAATCTTCATTACAGTGTTTTCATTACCTCGGCCGGTTAGCGACAGTACGCGAAGGGTTTATTTTCGAGAATGGGTTGTTTAGTACGTTAGTAATTGTTCAAATAGTTGTTTGGCAGATTTGAAGTTTGTATGTCGATTGTGAAAAGTTCAGTGTTGTTCAAATAGTTGTTTGGCAGATTTGAAGTTTCTACGTCGATTGTGAAACTATCGGTATATGTTCGAATAGTTGTTTGTCACATTTGAAGTTTCTATGTGGATTGTGAAAAGTTCAGTAGCCGTGCGATTCGAACCCACGCATGGACACCGCCTACGCTTTGTACGCGCATGCTCTACCAGCTAAGCTTCGAACCCACGCATGGACACCGCCTACGCTTTGTACGCGCATGCTCTACCAGCTGAGCTCCGCTGCCTCGACAGGTTTTCCCTCGAATTCACCGGACTCCACCGAATGAGCTTCTAGGAGAAATTGTTCAAATAGTTGTTTGGCACATTTGAAGTTTCTATGTCGATTGTGAAAAGTTCAGTGTTGTTCAAATAGTTGTTTGGCAGATTTGAAGTTTCTACGTCGATTGTGAAACTATCGGTATATGTTCGAATAGTTGTTTGTCACATTTGAAGTTTCTATGTGGATTGTGAAAAGTTCAGTAGCCGTGCGATTCGAACCCACGCATGGACACCGCCTACGCTTTGTACGCGCATGCTCTACCAGCTAAGCTTCGAACCCACGCATGGACACCGCCTACGCTTTGTACGCGCATGCTCTACCAGCTGAGCTCCGCTGCCTCGACAGGTTTTCCCTCGAATTCACCGGACTCCACCGAATGAGCTTCTAGGAGAGGTGAATTGTTCAAATAGTTGTTTGCCACATTTGAAGTTTGTATGTGGATTGTGAAAAAATGAATTGTTCAAATAGTTGTTTGGCAGATTTGAAGTTTCTATGTCCATTGTGAAATGTTCATAGCCTCGGTGGGACTCGAACGCACACATTTGAAGTTTGTATGTCGATTGTGAAAAGTTCAGTAGCCTCGGTGGGATTCGAACCCACGCATGGACATCGCCTATGCTTTGTATGGGCATGTTCTACCAGCTGAGCTACGAGGCCACACCGATAGCACTGATCTTTTTCACATTCGAATTTACCGACTAATAATAAATTGCTCAAATTGTTTTTTGGCAGTTTCGGTGGACTCCGGGGAAGTCTAAGGAAAACCTGTCGGGGCAGTCAGCTTACATGCTAACTGGTGTATGCCACATGCCTCTGTAAGTTAGATGGGTAAATTCGAACGTTAGTAATTGTCTTCGAAATAAATCAAGTGCAATTATCTGCGATATTAATTGATGTTCAACAGGCCGTTAGTGGGAACTTTGCAGTCTCAATCATACGGAAAAGACATCACAATTAAACAGTTCAGTTTGAGTGGGGACCATTGAACTGTGCCTGTGGAGTTGACCTATTGGTCAGAACTACTACTGTTGTGAGATATTACTTACGCTTGTGAGTAGTTGTAGGTGACATAGTTGATGATTTATTTCGACGATCAAGACTTGACAAGATCACCGAGGGCAAATTGATGTATCCTAAAGAATAACTATCGATTGCTGCATTCATTACCCGTTGTGCGACCAGGAACCGGATGTTATGTTTCTGATGAGATTTCCGTGTCATGTATTGCCAAATTAGTGATGTCCCATCTGTACTCCTCAGTAAACCATTGTCCTCGGCCAGCACTGTCTCCTGGAATTATAACACTGTGTACTGACAGAAATCAGACGCACTACTGGATATCCACAACTTTCGGCGCCTTCATCCACCAGACGATGTGTTGTTTTCGAACAGTGGTTCGAAACTCCGGCGATTCTTCGTACATTCGCCAGGGATCAGGACACACAGTAAACAGTTAGTTATCGGACATGGGACATGTGTATCCATTTCCGTTCGGTGTTTTGGAGTATTATCTGTCTCGACACAGGCGGTGTTAAAGAATACACTTAGGATTTACTTCCCTGTCTCAGATTCCCGAAGCGTCAACCAATCACGCCTTCGGTTCAGTACATTTAGACAAAGACAGGAGGGATGAACTTCGTCAGTATTTTCATTGCACAGTGATGTGATCTAACTGAAATTCACCTCGTATTACAAGTAAATCAGAAAACTGAGGCTAGATAAATTTATAATTTATAATCATATACATGATCATATCATAAATATATTTCACAGGATTTTTGCACGTTGTATTCCGATGGTAGTACAAATAAACTGATCAATATCCCTGTTTACTTACGGGTATTGGGTGGTTAGGTGTGTTTAAATATGTTATCAAGCCACAGGTCGAGTGAGTCGACGGTTTGAGCAAAAATAACTTGGAATGGAGGGGAGTATGCAACATCCCAAGTGCCTCCGAATAATATCTCCTGAAGCTTCCTCCTTGTAAACACGTGATACCAGCCGATATCCGAAGTGGCATGTAATCTTACTTCCCCCGACCTTGAGTTTGATGTTATTGATGATAGACCTAATGTGAGTATTTCCCTTAGTGTTAAATAATCGTAGGGAATTTTTGTATCCTTTCCCTGCTTTGGTGCATTCAGTTCCAGCTCAGCTTTTTATGACCATCAGTCATGCACTTTGGTGCACCGGTGTTGATTGTTGTCTCATGACTACACGTTTAGATGAAGGAGTAAAAAGATGTTCAAATCAGTATCGGAGTGAAAACATACAATTCATGAAGTCTAAGGTTGTAAGGAAAATGAGTAGTTACTCAAGTGCCACTGTTTACGACATTCAATCGTATCGTTCAATGTCCGACAATATCCGACAGACCCCACGGTGATTAATAACAATCTCTGTCAAATATCTTGGTTTAATCATAGATAGCAATCTTCATTGGTCAATCCACATCCACAACTGCATTGGTAAACTGCGACGCCTTTCATTTCAAATACGAAAGCTCAGGCAGTTTCGCGCATCCCAGTTAGTTATTTCTACTTTTGTTTATCAATGTGTTTTCCCCATCTT